CAAACAAATAAAATTTTTACAAATTGATTTTCTTTTTTTAGATGTATTTATTTTGGGGTATGAATGTTTTACCTGCACATGTGTATGTGCATCACACTCATGCCTTCTTCCCATAATGGTCAGAAGAGGGCATTGGATCCTCTGGAACTGGAGTTAGATAGTTATGAGCTGCTTGTGTTAGAAATGGAACCTGAGAAACAATTGGTCTTAACCACTGAGCCATCTCTCCAGTCCCTAGTTACATTTCTTCACTCACTTATTCCATTATTCTCCATGACTTAATTAACTTAGAAACATGCAATTGCCATTAACTTTGTGCTAGACACGACAATGGTGTTAATAAAATATTTTTCACTATGAGGGTAAGTAGGAACCAAGAAAGGGTAATTGATTCAATATACATATCTATTTTATTATCTAATGAACTTTCATCAACCAATAATACATAACTTTTTGAGTCATTAATACACAAAATAAATAACATAAGTCTGAAGTTGAAAAGCCTTTGGATAAGTGAAAAAAAGCAATATACAGCACAGCACTGACACAAAGCAAGAGACTGTGAAAGGCCTCTAAGGGTAAGAGCCATCTGAGGGACTCATAAGCTGTCTTTGTCAGGGTTGTTATTGCTGCAATGAAACACCATGATAAAAGCAAGTTGCTGTGGGATAACCCTTCTGTATGCTTTGGATATATTTTACTTTCTTTGGTTGATAATAAAACTAATATAATGCTCTGGTCTATAGCTAGGTGAGAAAGTCAAACTAAATACAGGGGAAAGAAGGGTGGAGTCAAGAGTGATGTAACCCAGCCACACAAGAAAGAAGATGCTAGCAGATTGGTAAAAAACCATGTCCAGAGCTAGGCCAACCATGGTGGTGGTGAAGACCCTCAACCCTAAAGCCGAGGTGGCCCAGGCGCAGGCAGCGCTGGCAGTGAACATCAGCGCGGCACGGGGCCTAAAGGATGTTCTGAGGACCAACTTGGGGCCTAAGGGCACCATGAAGATGCTTGTTTCTGGTGCTGGAGACATCAAGCTTACCAAAGATGGCAATGTGCTGCTTCACGAAATGCAAATTCAACACCCAACAGCCTCCTTGATAGCGAAAGTAGCTACAGCCCAGGATGACATAACGGGTGATGGCACCACATCCAATGTGCTCATCATTGGGGAGCTGCTGAAACAGGCGGACCTCTACATCTCCGAGGGTCTTCACCCCAGGATAATAACCGAAGGCTTTGAAGCTGCAAAGGAAAGGGCACTCCAGTTTTTGGAACAAGTGAAAGTAAGCAGAGAGATGGACAGAGAAACACTCATCAATGTGGCCAGAACATCTCTGTGAACTAAAGTTCATGCTGAACTTGCAGATGTCTTAACAGAGGCTGTAGTGGACTCCATTTTGGCCATTAAGAAAAAAGATGAGCCCATTGACCTCTTCATGGTTGAGATTATGAAGATGAAACATAAATCTGAAACTGACACAAGCTTAATCAGAGGGCTTGTTTTGGATCATGGAGCATGACATCCTGATATGAAGAAAAGGGTAGAGAATGCCTACATCCTCACATGCAACGTGTCTTTGGAGTATGAGAAAACAGAAGTGAATTCTGGATTCTTTTACAAGAGTGCGGAGGAGAGAGAAAAGCTAGTAAAAGCTGAAAGGAAGTTCATTGAAGACAGGGTTAAAAAGATAATAGAGCTGAAAAAGAAAGTCTGCAGTGACTCAGGATTTGTTGTCATTAATCAGAAGGGGATTGACCCCTTTTCCTTAGATGCCCTTGCAAAAGAAGGCATTGTGGCTCTGTGTCGGGTCAAGAGGAGAAAAATGGAGAGGCTGACACTTGCTTGTGGTGGGGTGGCTCTGAATTCTTTTGATGACCTGAATCCTGAATGTTTGGGACATGCAGGTCTTGTCTATGAGTATACCTTGGGTGAAGAGAAGTTCACCTTTATTGAGAAATGTAATAATCCCCGTTCTGTCACATTGCTGGTTAAAGGACCAAATAAGCACACGCTGACTCAAATCAAGGATGCTATAAGAGATGGCTTGAGGGCTGTCAAAAATGTCATTGATGATGGCTGTGTTGTCCCAGGTGCTGGTGCAGTAGAAGTGGCAATGGCAGAAGCTCTGATTAAATACAAGCCCAGTGTGAAGGGCAGGGCTCAGCTTGGAGTCCAGGCATTTGCAGACGTCTTGCTAATTATTCCCAAGGTTCTTGCGCAGAACTCTGGTTTTGACCTTCAGGACACACTAGTTAAAGTTCAAGGTGAGCATTCAGAATCAGGTCAGCTAGTAGGTGTGGACTTGAACACAAGTGAGTCAATGGTGGCAGCAGAGATGGGTGTGTGGGATAACTACTGTGTGAAGAAGCAGCTGCTTCACTCCTGTACTGTGATTGCCACCAACATTCTCCTGGTTGATGAGATCATGAGAGCTGGGATGTCCTCTCTGAAAGGTTGAAGAAGTCTCCCTGTCGCTGCGTCTGTGATACTACAGGATGACGTGGGGAAATGGTCATTTTTATCCAAGTGTCAAGTGATTTGGAAAAGAATTTTTCTCTTCCCGGTTGAAGAAAAGGGAACAGGACATTTGGCACCTATTCAAATTATAATACTGTAAAAAAAATTTTCACTGAGTGTATGCATAAAGCGAACACACTGAACAAGAAGTTTCCCGCTACAATGATACAAAATTACATATTAAAAAAAACCATGTCCATGTGGCAAAAGATAGATTAGTAGAAATGGGTTTATTTAAATGTAAGAGTTAGCTAGTAATAAGCCGGAGCTATTGGTCAAGCATTAATAATTAATATAAGTCTCTGAGGGATGATTTAGAAGTGACTGTGGGATAGGGCAGGACAGAGAAATCTCTGATTACAACAATTTGGGGGAGAAGGGTTTATTTGGCTCACACTTCTATATCAAAGATCATCACAGAAGGAAGTCAGGACAGGAGCTTACATAGGGCAGAAATCTGAGGCAGAAGTCAACGCAGAGGCCATGGAAGGGTATTGCTTACTGGCATGCTTACTATGGCCTGCTTTCTTATAGAAACCAGGACCACCAGCCCAGGAATGGCACCACCCACAAAGGACTGAGTCCTCCCTCATCAATCAGTGATTAAGATCCTATAGTTGGATCTTGTGGAAGCATTTTTCAGTTTAGAGTTCCTCCTTTCAGATAACTCTAGCTTGTGTCAAGTAGACATAAAACTAGCCTGCTCACCAGCCAAAGCCATAGGTCTCAGTGGCACAACTACAAAAACACTAAGTCCTGCCAACAACCTCAATAAGCCTGGGAATAATTCTTTCCCAAAGGCTCCAGTTAGAAGAGCCCAACCCAGATGATACCTTGATTTTGAACTTAAATTCTGTGAGAAATCTAGCCAGTCTAAATTGCTAACCTAGAAATGTAACATGACACACATATAGATAGGTGCCCTCAGAACCTGCGGGTTCTAAATCTTTACACTTAACCAAATGTGGCTCCAAACATCAGAAAAAGGCTGTACCTGTCTGTATACTGAGCATGCTCAATTTTTTTCTTGTCTTTCTTCCCTTGGCAGCTCAGAATAACAAGCAATTACATCATCCTGACATTCATTGTTCAGCATTATAAGTAATCAAGAGATCATTTGCAGTACACAGCAAAATGTGCGTAGGTTCTGCATAAATACTTCCTCGCTTTGCAGAATTGACTTGAACAGTCACAGGGTTTGTTATTTGTGGGCGTCAAAGCAGATCTATCATGGATCTGGAGGGATGGCTGTAATTTAAGCCATTGTTTGAGGTAATTTCTTATGTGGTCATAGAAACACAGCCCTGTACTCCACAGCTAGCGAGCTGATGTTTAGAGCGACTCCTCTAAGTGTTTCCTATAAAAAACAATGGCATTGTATTGCTCTGTTGTTGCCTCAAAGCAATAAAGATAAATTCACAGTGGAAAATTACATGACATCTGTGGACCAAGGGCCATATAACAAACAGACAACAAACAGGGCATCCTGTCCCAGAGTGGAACAGACAATAGAGGAACTCAAATATAGTAAGTAGAGCTACAAGGACTAGGAAGATTGTTGGGAGCAGAAAGTGGGGGCGAGAGGCAATGGTAGAGCTATTTAGCAATATTGAAGAGCAAATAACTGTGGGAATTCAAGCCTAGAAACGGGCATGGTTCTACCAGGCTGCCTGGGCTGATGTTCTGTTAACCCTGTGAGAATGGATCTTCAAGGGCATGGAAATTATTGTCAGAAGCTTTGAAAGTTTGAAAATGAAAGGCAAGAAATGCCTTCAGAGCGATACAATCGGAGTTTTCTCTAAGCTTAGCTTTCGAGAATAAGAATTCCTTCGCTGAAAAGATTTCTCAGCGCTCACTGTGCAAGCATGAGTATCTGAGTTCAAATCCCCAGAGCCTATGTAAAATCCAGCAATGGGTGGCTTGTACCTAGAGCCCTAGTGCTGGGGAGGGGAGACTGTCAGGTCCCAGGAGCACCTTGGTCAGTCCATCTAGCTGAATCTGCATGCTTCAGAGTCAGTGAAAGAGTCTGTCTTTGAAAAAATAATACAGTAGAAAGAGATTCCCAATGCTGACCTCCAGACTCAACACAGAGAAGCACCCATGTATCCACGTATAGAGTATACACCCACACACGTTCACACAAGCACACACATGAACACACGCACGTAACCAGAATAAGAATTCTCAAACTGTGTAGTGGCGCGTATGGATAAGCACAGTATTCAGAAGATCAGAGCAAGTAAATTGTGAGTTTAAGGTCAGTCTGGACTACATAATAAGTTCAAGGCCAGCCCAGGCTACACAGTGAGAACCTGTTTCAGAAACAAAAAATAGCAACAATAAAAAAAGAAATTCTTTAGGAAGTAAGATTATACTTAATTCATTTCCCCTTCCTGAATATACCACTGTGTTACATAAGCCCATGAGAAATGTGTGGAAAGTGACAGGTAAACCTTTATCTTGCTCTGTAGCACAGTACCTGATGTAGACTTCAATTCCTGGGTGGATCTGCAGCCACCGTTCCTCAGGAAGGCTCTCTCAGAGCTGGGGAAGTCAGAGGAGGTCGGATAAAGCAATCAACCGGGATAACCAGCTGACCCAAGTGAGGCCTCTGTTCTCTCCACAGTGCTCGCCCCAGCCCAGATCTGAGGGCCCCAGGAAGGACCCAGCATCTCTACAGCTGGCCAAGCTCTCCTTATCCACTTCTCTAGCTACAGGAGAGACACCAGGTCCTGTGACAGAATGTTCCTAGTGATCTATCTAGTGCCACCAGCAGGCCCAAGCAAAAAGCTAGTCAGGCGGTGGGAGTAAGGCACCAAGTACAAACCTAGGACAGGAAGCTGTTTAAGGAGCTCCGGGATCTGGTTCAGTACCAACACTATTGGCATTTCTTACTCTCTCTCTCTCTCTCTCTCTCTCTCTCTCTCTCTCTCTCTCTCCTACCTTCAAGTAACATTGAGCTCTGTGCTTCTCTTTCTAGGGACACCTTCCTAGAGACTTGATCCCTTAACTTGCAACTCTCAAACGTTCACCTCTTACCTCGATTCTTCCGATGCTATAAATAGAGTTTTCCGGTCTCTCCCTCACCTCTAATCGCGCCATCTTAATTGCTTATGTGCTTGGACATTGCTCTTTGAAGTCCCAATTTTAAACGTTGCTAAACATTTACTATGAAGCAATCAAGGTTTAGCTAGATAAAGATGAATAGGAGAGATAGCGTTGAAGTTGGAGGAGGAACTTTATGGGATATTCCAGCCACTAAGAACAAGAATCTGGACTTTGACATTAGAGAAAATGAGATTTTTATCTTGTCAAACTAGCACTGTTTGGGCACCCTCTGGTACTTAGAACTGAATCTAATTATAGATAAAATGTTGGTTTCTGTGGGCTGTAAAATAACAATGGTTAACATTAAATGATTATTTCTTTACAGTCAGTGTTCCAGAATGGTTACTTCATTTCATGTGCACTTCGGACAGACAAGAAAATCCCTTCAAAGAGGGTCTTTCCAACATGGCCAGTTTCTAGAAAGGTCTACTTTTATGCTATGTTAAGAATTTGTAAAATCAAAACACCTTAGGTCGATTAAAAGAATACAATTGTTTTGATAATTCAGGCTCATCACCATTTTCAATAGGCCTTCGCCCCATTAGTCTAAGAATAGATTAAAATCCTTCCAAAAATCAGAGCCCCTTACACTTCCTGTAAATTAAGCTTTCCTACTGTGTCTGTTCTCCATCGTGGGACTACACACCCTCACTCTCCCAGGTCCCAAACCTCAATAAGAACAAAACAGACTTTTCCCCTCGCTAACATCTATCCCTACCTAGACAGTTACCTTCTCCCGAGGAGTCTCCTTTCCTGGCATTGGCTAGAGCCACTTTGTTCTTCCCTATTCCAGGCTGTTATTCTAGCTGAGGCCTTATCACCTTGTACCTAGCAATATTCTCCTGATCGCTGCTGTGATATGTGCTCCAACTTCCACCTTACCGAGTATCTTATTCTCCCAGCTCATGACCTACTCTGACCTGTGCCCACAGCATTTGGACATGGCCTTGGGAAGTCCCTTTCATTCTCCTCCTTGCTATTTCTCGCTCCTCCTATCTTTCCAGTCAATTCCAGAGTCTGCTAACTTAGCTGCTCAGTGTATGGGTCCCAAAGCGTCACCATTTCAAACCTCTGTAAGCATGTCGGCTCTATCTGATGCCCTGAACCCCTTTGATTGGCTGAGTTATCTCATAACCCTTAAATAAAAAGCTTCTTAAGGGGACAGCTTCCTCTCCGGTGCTTTTGAATTCCCTTGAGCTTAACACAGTGTTCGTAATAGAGCAAGTGCTGGGTCCAAATTGAGGAAACAGCACGGAAAGAATTACAGAATCTGGAAGCTTTGGAGTTCAGCTGTCTGAGGGGCAGCAGTCTTTGCAAGTGTTTACAAAGTTCTTACATTGAAAAGACAGACTTTAAGCCCAATGCACAGTCCCACTTCACTCTTGCTATTTCCAGTCTTGGTGGAGAACAAATTCCTGGGCTCCATTCTAGAGAGAAGATGAAGTCCTTCTTTGCCTCTTGGTTACATTTAAAACAAGGAAGTGCTTTGGTAGAACAGATATGACCCGAGACAGTTCCTTCCCGACACTTTTGGTGGTTTGTTTTTTGAGACAGGGCTTTTCTGTAGCTTTGGAGCCTGTCCTAGACTAGCTCTTGTAGACCAGGCTGTCCTCAAACTCACAGATGTCTGCCTGCCTCTGCCTCCCAAGTGCTGGGATTAAAGGCGTGTGCCACCACCATCCAGCGCCTTCCCGATACTTCTAATATAATGGCAGTCATCAACCAACTGAGTGGAGCCCTCAGACTGCTCTCAGGTTAGACCACTGGATAATGAGTCAGAATTCACCATCCCTAACCAGCCTAGAACAGATGGGTACAGAGAAGCAGACAGATGTCACTACAGGCGGAGTTAGGTACGGGCTGGCAAATGAGTCCTTCTAGCCTGAAAGAATCTGTGCTGCTCAGGCAGGAGCAGAGCAAAAGCCCCTTCTGGTCTCAGAACCCCTCCCTGCCTCCTTGGGGACTGATTTCCCTGCTCCAGATGCCTGACCTCAAGTGCAGCCATGTTTGCAGCCAGACAGTAGGCACCAGACAAAGCTGATTTAAATCTACTCTTGCTGCTATTTTACGACCCAACAGTGTGACACTATGAGTCAGCCCCTCTCTAATGGAAGAAAACAAGGAGACAATCTTGGAGGCTGCTCAACATTGTGTCCAAGGACAGATCCACAGCAGAGACGAATTCTAATGAGAAATAAAGAAGAAATCTTACACTTTACAAGAGGTGAAGACCTAACCACATACCTCATGTCACCTCTTCTCAGGTGACAATATTTTTCCAGTAATTCCTGAGTTTACCTTAAACTGATCCAAGTGTTGCTCTGTCAACGGTAAACCAGAGCTGTAATTCAAAACTATAAAATCTAAGACCATGGAAATCAGAGAACCCACCAGTACTTAACCAAGAATTTGCGGCTATGTGTCTGTGGTGCATTACAAAACACTGGTAAGCAACACGGTCTTCGTTTGTCGTCATAAACCAATAAAGCACAAATGACAGGCTAATACTTTAGAACAATTCTCCCAGAACTCTTTTGTCTTTCTTGGCAGCTCTGGGATGAAGCAGGGGAAACTCCATAAGTGACACAAATTCAATAATTGTCCTACTGTTAATTAGTTCTGCAAACATTTATCCCACAGAGTCTTCAACCTCATACGTTTCTAAAGCAAGCAAATAACCAAAAGACAAGATTGTGCAATTCATAATAGCATGTAAATGGTTAATAAGCCATTGAAATTGTCTCAATCGCATTCATCATTAAAGACATGCTAATTTAAGTGAGGTATAATTCTACCTTGTTCACCACCAGTGAGTTTTAATGCTAAGAACACATGACATCAAAAACTCTCATACCTTGACCATACTAGATTTCTGGAGGCACCATGAAACATGTAACAACATTTTATTGTGCTTTCTGTAGTCCAGAAATCCTACTATAGATGATCTATCTTAAAAAACAAAAAAATAAGGCAAATGTCCAAAGCCCTTGGTACAGTTCTTCACAGCACACTTGTGGCAGTCAGAAGACAACACTGTGACAGTAACTCTTCTTCAACCACGTGTGCTCTAGAGATCAAACCTGAGTCCTCAGGGTTGGTAGGAAGCACCGTTAACCGCTGAGTCTGCTTGTTGAGCGTCATTGTTTTTTCTTTTTACTATACTTTTATGGTTTATACTTATTAACCATTTACATGCTATTATGAAATACACAATCTTGTCTTTTGATTATTTGCTTGCTTTAGAAACGGTTGTGGTTGAAGACTTTGTGGGATAAATGTTTGCAGAACTAATTAACAGTAGGACAATTATTGAATTTGTGTCACTTATGGAATTTCCCCTGCTTCATCCCAGAGCTGCCAAGAAAGACAAAAGTATACTTTTAGTAGGACAGGTGACTTTGCTTTCTCCTTTTATTTTTTTTATTATTATTTCCATTTGCTTCTCTTCTCACATTTGTCTGATTTTAGTTTTGCATTTGTCATTATTTTGTTACCAGATAATTTCTGTCTCTTGCTCTTTTCTTGCCTTTATAACACTGGTCTCCAAACCTCTTCTTGTTGTTGCTCTTTTATTTAACTTTATCTTACCTTTATTCTTCCCTTTGTTTGTTTGTTTACTTATGTGGATGTGTTACTGAGGATCAAATCTAATCTCTTGCACATGTAAAGTACGTGTCCTACCACTGGCTATATCCCCGGTCTTAACTTCTGGTTTTGTTGTCTTATTTGCAGTGATGAGTACTGTCTTAGTGGGGGTTTCTATGGCTGTGAGGAAACACCATGGTCAAAAGCAAGATGAGGAGGAAAGGGTTTATTCGATTTATACCACTACTCATCATCAAAGGAAGTCAGACAGAACAGGAACCTGGAGACAGGAGAGGATGTAGAGGTCGTGGAAGGGTGCTGCTTACTGACTTGCTCCCCATGGCTTGCTCAACCTGCTTTCTTATAGACCCCAGGACTGGCCCAAAGGTGGCACCACCCATAACGGGATGAGCCCTGCCCATCCATCCCTAATTTAGAAAAATGCCCTACAGGCTTGCCTACAACCTGATCTTATGGAGTCATTTTCTAAATCAAGGTTTCCTCCTCTCAGATGATTTTAGCTTTTGTCAAGTTGACATACATTCCTTCCTTTGTTTTATTCAACTATTTTACATTTATCACAAACACTGTTTTTACCTTCATAACCTACCCTACGTTTTTAAAAGTCTCTGTTCAACTAGCTTACTACAATTTGAAGTATGTTTCCATATCTTGTTTGATTTAGTCCTGTATTAAGTTTGTTTACTCCTCCCTACGTGGATCAGATTTCTCAATAAGAAGATTCCCAAATAAAACCAGAAAAGCATCCAAACAAATTGGTGCCCAAACTGTAGCACAAAAATATAAGAACCATGGAACAAGAGAACATGACACCTCCAGAAAATAATAACACACTAACTACCAAGTTCAAAGATACTTAATGGTTCAAATGACATACAGAATTAAAAATCTACCACTAAAAAGGGTCAGCGATGAGAAAAAGGAAACAGATAGATGAATGAAGTAAGAAATCAATTCAGTATTCTGATGCCCCCATCTTATTTGAGCACTTACTGTTTTTGCTGAGGATCCAAGTTCAGTTCTAGCACTTGGGTCAAAAGGATTACAGCTGCCTGTAATTCCAGCTCCATAAAGCTTGTTATCCTTTTTGGACCTCTAAGATGATCTGCACACGCATGTGCATACATACACACAGACACATACCCACACATGTACATATGCATAAATGAAAATAAGATCTTTACAAAACAACAATCATGGAAAATCAACAACAGGAATGAGAAATTCATCAAGGAAACTGAGATCTTGAAAAGTGTCCAGAAATGTTGGAAACTAAAATTTCAGTTAATCAAGTGACAATTATCTCCTAGGCCAAGCTGAAGAAAAAAATATCAGGAATGAAAGACAAGGTTGAGTAAATATTATATTCAGACTTCAATAAGAAGAA